GTGGGCATTGTGGATGTGACAGGCATAAGACAAAGTCCAAACCAAGACACAGGTGGTCTTCTGGAGCCCACAGTCTCACCCCTGAGAGAAGGCCAGCATCTGCACCTAAATACCAAAGAACAATTTAAAAAAGAAAAACCCAGTGTGTGCGAGTCACACCAAGATGTCAACAGGAAGAAATCAGGGTGACGGGAGGTTAGAGAAAGCTTCTTAAAGGTACACAGGACTGGGTGCTGATGCCATGCCAGCCACTGCTCACAGCAAACAGCCTTCCCATCTCTCCGCATACCAACTTCAGGAAGCTGGCCCCAGTTTGCACAGGACTTTTGAGGAAGCTGAGGCTCAGTGAGAGGTTGTGACTTGTCCAAGGACGTGCACCTGGTAGTGGCAGATGATGATTTCAAATCCAGTCCGTCTGACTCTGGGCCTGTGCTGGTGACCACTGTGCCAGCTGGGCTCAAGAGAGAGATGGGATTTGAGTTGATGGGAAGGTAACAGGGAAGGGATTGTTGGACTGAGGACAGTCAAGGAGTAACAATAGTGAGGATCCACCAGAGAGGGTGGTCTGCACCAGAGAACAGGGGCTGAGACTGGAGAGGTGAGGAAAGGCATGTGGATGCCATCAGTGCCAGATTTTTCACAGTGGAAGCAGTGGGCGAGGTGGGGAGAAGGAGGCTGGGGATCAAGGTTGGCATCAAATTATCAGAACTGACAGTGGCACCTGTGCCGTGGGGCAGGGGTGCATCCTAAGACATTGTGCGAGAACAGTCAGCAGGCTTAGGGGCTTGAGGGAAGCAGATCTGGAGGCTGGTGGATGAGAGCACCACAGAAATGGGAGAATTTGGGAAAGGGTGAGCTAGGCCTGGAAGCCATCTGGTTTGGATTAAATGTACAGAGTTCTGGGTAGCAACTGCTCGACTGGTGCCACATTTGTTGCACAACTGAAAGTTTCAGAGTAGAGTCCAGTCATGGGCAGCTGGAGGCATGGAGGTGGGGTCACCAGAGAGGGGTGAGGGAAGGGTGAAAGTCTAGCAGCCAAGTAATAGATGTCCATGGCCAGTCACAGCACAAACCTTACCAAAATAGAAGAGCCACTTTCTAAAAGATCATCCAAAAAATATTTAGATTATTTTTCACTCTGGCACTAGAGTTCAATTTTTTGTCACACCAAATGATGTCACTTTAAAAGTCCAAACGCAGGGCTGGTTTGTTCCCAGGGGGTAAAGGCCGATATATTTGTAGAATACAGTAGAGCCCAGACTCTATCTCATGCTCCAAGTTTTTCTTGAGCCCCTTTTTATGGGCAAAGTATTGTGCTTTCATTCTTAAGTCTTTTTAATTTTAAAAAAATTTTTAATATATTCTCTTGATTATGCTATTACAGTTTCTCATTTTCTTCTCTTTATTCCCCTCTGCCCTGTACCCCGCTCCCACCATCATTCCCTCACCTTAGTTCATGTCCATGGGTCGTACATATAAGTTCTTTGGCTTCTCCGTTTCCCATACTATTCTTAATCTCTCATGTCTATGCTCTACCTACCATTTATGCTCCTTATTCTCTGTACTTTTCCCCCCATTCTTCCCCGACCCCTTCCCACTGATAACCCTCCATGTGATCTCTATTTCTGTGAATTTGTTCCTGTTCTAGTTGTTTGCTTAGTTTGTTTTTGTTTTTATTTTTAGGTTTGGTTGTTGATGGTTGTGAGTTTGTTTTCATTTTCCTGTTCATAGTTTTGATCATCTTTTTTTTCTTAGAAAGTCCCTGTAACATTTCATATAATAAGGGCTTGGTGATGATGAACTCCTTTAACTTGACCTTATCTGGGAAGCACTTTATCTGCCCTTCCATTCTAAATGATAGCTATGATGGATAGAGTAATCTTGGACATAGGTCCATGCCTTTCATGGCTTGGAATACTTCTTTCCAGTCCCTTCTTGCCTGCAAGGTCTCTTTTGAGAAATCAGCTGACAGTCTTATGGGAACTGCTTTGTAGGCAACTGTATCCTTTTCTCTTGCTGCTTTTAAGATTCACTTCTTACCTTTAATCTTGGGTAATGTAATTATGATGTACCTTGGTGTGTGCTTCCTTGGGTCCAACTTGTTTGGTACTCTCTGAGCTTCCTGGGCTTCCTGGATGTCTCTCTCTCTCTCTCTTTTTTCTTTCTTTTGCCAGATTGAGGAGGTTCTCCTTCATTATTTGTTCATATAAGTTTTTGATTTCTTGCTCTTTGTCTTCTCCTTCTGGCATCCCTATGATTCAGACATTGGAACATTTAAAGTTGTCCTGGAAGTTCCTAAGCTTCTCCTCATTTTAAAAAAATTCTTGCGTCTTCATTCTGTTCTGGATGAATGTTTATTTCTTCCTTCTGGTCCAAACCGTTGATTTGAGTCCCAGTTTCCTTCCTGTACTGTTGGTTCCCTGTATATTTTCCTTTATTTCACTTTGCATAGCCTTCACTTTTTACTCTATTTTGTGACCATACTCAACCATTTCTGTGAGCATCCTGATTACCAGTGTTTTGAACTGTGCATCTGATAGGTTAGCTATCTCTTCATCACTTAGTTGTATTTGTTCTGGAGCTTTGATCTGTTCTTTCATTTGGGCTATATATATTTTTTTGTCTCAGCATGCCTGTTATGTAGTAAGGGGTGGAGCCTCAGGTATTAGCCAGGGAGGGCAACCCAGGTTCCTTCACTGTGGTGCTGAATGTGGGGGAGGGGTCCAAGAGGGAACAATGCCTCTGTCTCAGCCCTCAGCTGGCTTTCAGTCACTTCCTCCACTTCCCACAAGCAAATTTAGCCCTTCTAGTGCTGATTCCCAGGTGGATGGGTTTGTGTACATTCTAGGACCCTGTGGGTCTCTCAAAAAAAACCTCTCCTGTGAGCTGGGAGTTTCTCCTGCTGCCTCAACCCCTACAGGATTTTTTAGTCAGAGGTTTTGAGGCTTTATTTTCCCACACTGGAACCCTGGGTTGCATGGTGTGTCTTGCTCCCCAATTGTTCCTCCTGGTTTATTATCATGCAAATGTGGGATCACCCAGTCTGCCAGCCACTGCCTCACACACCCAGGTCCTCCTGTCTCCACCCTGCCATGAGTCCTCTCCACCCCATCTGCCTGTTGCTGCCCCTCCTACAGGTCTGAATGAATGTTTCTTCTTTAACTCTTTTGTTGTCAGACCTCTATACAGTTCCATTTTCTGGCAGTTCTGGTTATTTTTTGTTTTTAAATTTGTTGTTGTCCTTCTTTTGGTTGTGAAAGGAAGCAAAGTTTATCTACCTATGCCTCCATCTTGTCCAGAAGTCCTCTTTTTAAATTTTTTAATTGTTTAAAATTTTAAGATTCTATGAAATTAATATTGGCTTTAGCCAGTTGGTGGTTAGATGGATGTATACATGTAACATTGGCCGTGTTGAGCCCACTGTTGATCGTGAGCACATTTGGACTGGATAAGAGGAAAAGTTTAGCCCTGATGGGTGTGCCTCAGAGGGTTGGGTGTCCTCCCACGAATGGAAAGGTTGCAGGTTCAATTCCTGGTCAGGACAATTCCTGGGTTGTGGGCCAGGTCCCTGGTTGGGAGCACGTAAGAGGCAGCCAATCTCAATATTTCTCTGGCACATCAATGTTTCTCTCCCTCTCTTTCCCTCTCCCTTTCCATTTTTCTAAAAATAAGTAAATAAATAAAATATTTTTTAAAAAAGAGGAAAAGTTTAGACTTGGATGAAATACTCAGCACCAGATAAAGTTAAGACTTAACAGTGTAATTTAGTCATAGATGAAAACTGTCTAAAAAGTTGTATTTTATAGGCAATACCTAAGAAATGACCCAGACAATGCTTAATGAATGAAAATTTATTGCTGCTGATACACTTCTCATTAAAATATCTGCATTTATAAATATGACGTCCAGACATTCCTGGGGTCAGAACAGTGGACTGAGAGTATCCCTCAGTTGTAAGTGAGACTGAGCTGGCTCTGCCTGCCTTTGTGGGCCCTATGGAGTTGGGCTGGAGCCTGAGCGGTCAATGGCTTTGACTGATTGGATGGGCAGGCCTGCCAGGTTCCAGGGAGAAGACAGCTTTTCTGTGTCCAAAGGTGAGAGGTAGGGCTGTGCTCAGCAGACAGCAGTGAAAGGTTATGACAGGTGAAGAGTGAACAGCAGCTTTGAGTCTAGAAATAAGAGGCTCATGTATACAGGCTGACTATGTTAAAGCCTTACTGTCTGTTGAAAGAAGTGGACTTAAATCTGAGAGTGGCAGGGACACATGGGAGCATTTTTGAGTGAAACAATGCAGTCAAGACAGTGTGGAAGGAGGGCAGCCTGTGGTCTGGTGCTTATACAGACCAAAATAAAAAGGGGTGCTCACATGAGTGGACTTTGATGAGAATGGGTCACTTATATTAAGAAGGGGAATAGGGGACTATAATTTGTGTAAATTATCTAGGTTAATATTGTCGAAGCTTTCACGTACAGTTTAGATGGGTTGTTAACATACAATTTTTGCAAGCTTTCCTGAGTTTGTCTTCTCCATCCTAGAAGGATGGCTGGGGAAATGTGACCTAAGTATTTGGGGAATGAGAGTTTGTTTGAGTCAACACTGGGGACCATACTAAGTTCACACCAAGAGAAGACTTAAATCTTTGGGAATCATGATCAAAGACAGAGATAGGAAATTGAGCACTGCTGGATTTACAAGGGCAGATATAGTCCTCTAGGTGGATACTGTAGGAAATGGGGGTATTTTGTGGCCTTTGGGGGACAGGATGGGCCATATGGTGGCTGAACCCAGGACTTTCCCATAGTTTAGGATGGAGCTTGGCTGATGATAATGCCCATGTGCTGATACGGTGGAGGAGTCATTGTGTGCCAGCCCCGTCCCAGTCAGGGGACAGGTGGGAGCTCTATCATGTCACCAAGGAAAGACTGTGTTCTTTTAAATACCAGAGGTGCTCAGAGCTGAGAAGGGTGGCCTCTCACCCCCTCCATTTTCTCCCTCCCAGTTACTTTGGAGCAGCGCTCCCTGGCAGTGAGGCATTGTCCTGACAAGAGGACCAGGCTCTGTTAATGAAAGTAGGTTATCAGATGATGTCTTGATTTCCTTAAAGGCTGTAGCATTTTTACTGCCCTGAGGAAAGCTTCGTTTTTATAAGCAGGAGTAAATTTATCATCTCTGAATTTTGTGCTCAGCGGGGATAAACTTGTCATCGGTGGGTAGGAGGGTTGCTGGTTAATGAGCACAGTCGTGTCTGTGGAGCTCCTAGAAGTGACAGGAGAGTGGGTGTCAGCCACTCGCGGGGAATCTATTAATTCTCCAGAGGGCTCAGTTGGTTCTAGTTAAGCTTCTCTGACAGAGTCTTGATTCTTTCAGCAGATTTATGAGGCTTGGCCAAATTCCATGACTCTCACTGTACTTGTTAATTAAGACAAAGGATTCCATGCGTTCAGTGTCTGACACAGCCTCACTTTTGGTCACCATGGGGAATGCTACACAAATGAGCCTATTCGTATTCACCACCGGAAAGGGCATCTTAGGGCACAGGTTCCTTGACTCCGAGTGGAAGACAAACTTCTTTTTCTCTTGGTAGCAGTGGTTTTATTTCCTTCTGAATGACCAAAAAGCACAAGTGGGATGTAACCTACATTTCAGCTGTATGTACAAGTGAGCCAAAATGTTGGAAACCTGGCCAGCAACCAACATGCATTTAAGTTAGACTTTGTCTTTGAGGCAGAAAACAGTGCCTACCAACAAATTACAAGGGCGCACATGCTTTCCACCCATGGCTGAGACTCCTGTTTTTACCTAGAAATTGTGCTCAGCTAGGCCTGGAGGCATATACATTTCCGTGGTCACTTTATTTCCTGTGCCCTCAGGAAACCGTGCGTACCAGGAATTCCGTTTCTTTACCTAAACACCATGCCAGGTGTCCTCTGACTTTAGAAATGAGTGGAAAAAATAGGGTGTCACTCTAAGGGATTTTCAGCTCATTTGCCTAAGATGTGATATTTCTGGTCTGTCTTTTTTTTCTTGCTTTCAGTGATGTTAATCTTATAATACAGAAGTGCAGATACCAAATCTGTGGGGTTCATCTGGGAGACCTGATATAAGACACCAACTTTGAATGGCATAAATTGAGGCATATAAGCTCTTCTCGGTGTTTTGAGAGTTTCTACACTTAGCTCTGGTTCCCCAGGATCTCTTAGCCAAGCACAGCATTATTTCAGAGGCTTTGAAGCAGCAGTTGAGCCCCGGACGCTCACCTTGTTGCCCCGTCAGTATTCAAGGTGGCAGGACACAGAGCCCTCGATGCCCTTTTTCCTGTTCTGTCCAGCATTGTCTCCTGCCATCTGCCCTTTCTTGCTTCTCTCTTGTCCTTCTCCTGCTGCCCGTGTGTCCCTCATTTCCCTGTATTCACTGTGCTTGTGGGTACTGAGTGCACTCCTGTGTTCTGCTTGGACAGCCCATGAGCCTGCAGGGAGGGTGCACGGGCATCTCAGAGGCCGTGTTGGGTAGAAAGGGTACAGGTGGGGCTGGCATCGGGACCAGACCTCCAGGCTTATGTCTAACCATCTGGAGTGTGCTTGTCTGCAGGGACAATCTGTGTTCGTGTTCCTTGCGTTGGTTTCTGCAAACTGTGAGACGGTGGCAAATGAGGACAGTGTCTGTGGGTGTTTTCTCAATATTTGCAGATACTTGAACAGGCATCATCAAAGCAGTTTCACTGAGCAAAAATGTGTGCAAGGTTCACAGATACTGAAACTATTTTGTGATTTTTTTCAGGAGATCGAGGTTTTTAATGTCATATGTCAGAGAGTGCCGTGTGGGTGTGACAGTGGTGTGCGGATTCCTGTATCTGTTCTGTGGGAGAACGCGGCCAGGGTGTCAGGACAGCACTGCGGCTACAACCAGCCTGCAGTTGCACGTGTGTCTACTCAGGTGAGCTGTTCACTTTGCAGATAATCTGCAGGCACATTTAAATTGGTGCTTCATTGGGTGAAAAGTGGTTGTGGGCAAACAATGCTGATATGGATCAACTATGATGTTTTCAGAAACGGTATTTGGCATGCACGCTGTTGATCCTTACATTGTCAGAGGTAACTGAGTCCTGAGGACAGACTTTCATTCTGACCTGTGAGGGTGTGCTATGTGTGGTCTGCAGAGAAACTGCAAAGGGTGAACATGAAGCTATGCCTCCTGTTGAGTCGAGGTCAGATACCCCTGGAAAACCAGACTCACAGTCTGAGACTTTGGAGATGGCAGAGGTAGGAGCCTTCATCTGATGACCAGGGAGAGCGGTGAGGGAGAGAAGTGACTGCACCATCACACCTCGAGTTAGTAGACAGTGGAGCTGGGACCAGAGGGTCTCTGGACCCTTTGGCTGGTTTCTTCCTGGGACCTCCACACAGGTAACCATATTCACCCCACTCCCCACCATACCAGAGCCATACCAGCAGTAAGTTGGTGATAAAACCACAGGTGCACTGTTTGTGGCTGCCAGCTCGTGGAGTCCCTCTCAGCTCACTGGCAATGACACCAGGTTGCAGAGATGCCGTGGACAGGAGAGAGCTCATTTCTCCATGACTTGGTTTACCCATCTCCACACAGAGGTCAAGGCTGTTGCCAACTCTGGACTCTCCTACCTGCAGCCCTGTGAAGGGGCTAGAAAAGAGGTGCTGAGGGGCGAGACAGCTGTCCTCAGGGTTTGCCTTTCGGTGAGAGCCCACTACTGTTTGAACCGAACTGAAGATTCAGATTTTAAAAATTTACTTCTCATCTCTACATTTTCTCATCTCTACATTTACTTCTCATCTCTACATTTTCCTGGTTCTTCATTTGTTCATATTGTCAGTGAATCTCTTGGGTCCCTTACTGTCACAACCCTGCAGAATCCATTTGGCTCCACACAGCACTCCGTCGAGACTCCAGACCTAAGCTCCAGGCCCACATTCAAGCAAGCTCGGTGGGTCTCAGCCCCCTCCTGCTGCCTCTGTCCTTCATCCTCAGCCACAGAGCCATGGGACTGACCCGTGTCCTGGGGCTGCCATGCAGGTCCACGTCATCTATTTGCCCTTCACAGTGTCTTTCACAGTCATCCCTTTTCCTCAGTCCCAGAACAGAGTGCCTGGGCTTGACTCCCCAGGGCCAGCTCCTGACCTTCTTCTGCAGGAACCATGTGTGGCCTCAGGCGGGTCACTCTTCTGTTTCAGCCCAGTGTCCCCTCTCACATAAGAGGTCAAGTGGATTACTCCAAAGCTCCTCCCATCATCCACATCTGCAAGTCTGTGCCTGGACATAGCCAGCAACCCTAAACATGCTTGAAAGTGAACCAAGTTGGCCCTCAACTTGGCCTTTCTCCTTATCCAGACTAACATTCCTGAAGCCCCTGTTCTAGGTGCCACTCTCTGCACTAGCTTCCAGCCATAACGCCTGTCCTGTGCCATAGGGTGATTGCAAACTAGTAACCAAACTTGGACTTTTTGAGATTGAAAGGGGACACAATGAAAGATGAAGCTTAGATGATGGCTACACACCAAGACTGTTGGCAGACCAGACCATTTGGTTAACCTAGTTTTGAGTCAAGTACAAAACCCCTCACTCAATTAAATGGCTCTGCCTTGCCTACCAGGCTCTCAGTGTTTGGCCCAGATGCTCTCTGCCCCTACTCCCCGCAGAACTGTCTCATCTTTAAAACTACGGGAGGGAAATTGTCAGAAAGACTGGTCTCTCAGTGCCAGTCTACAGCTGAACATTTTCTAAATCAAATAGAATTGATCGACTTCCTCCTTTGATTCTCAGGGAGTTTTTCATACACCTGACAGCCACCATGTCCAGTTCCTGTGGACAACAGCCCCAGCGGGAGTGCTTCTGGGGAAGAACTTTTCTGAGGCCAACACCTGCTGGGCTTCCCGCCTCCCTCAGAAATGCAAGCAGGAGGTTTGGGATGGGGAGATGGCCCTTCCTAATGAGGGCTGCTCCCTGGACAGGAGATAAGAGCCAGTTGAAGGAGCTTTGACTGGTCCGTTAGAACTGGAGCAGGACAGAGAAACCAGGGTCGGCTCAGAGCTAGGCTTCTGCACTCCAGTGATGCTGAGTAAGTGCCCAGAACATTTCCTGTGCTGCAGTCTCAGTACAGCCTGAGGCCTCTGGCTGGAGACCCCATGTGGTAGGACCCGATAATAGCCCTTCTACTATAGAAACAGTATCAAGAACCAAACTGCTTAAATCAAAACAAGTAGTACCATCTTGAATCTCTGCTCCCCAAACCGCTGACTTTGGCAGGGCCGTGCCTGCTGCGGGAGTGATGGGGCTCCGGAGCGTTCCAGTGGAGTGCTGGCCGGGGCGACCATCTGGGGCATGGTCGGAAGACACATGCAGGGCAGTCCAAGTGTCTGCTGTCTGCTTGCTGGCCCGTGCAGGGCCCGTCAGAGCGGCGGACGGAGTGGCCAGGTGTCGAGGCCCAGGTGGAGGTTGTGCTACAGACGCTCCCCAGGAGGTCTCCAGTGCAGAGTGAGCAGGGCTGCAGTGCTGCCACATGTAATGCTGCCCTGAGAACAGGGGATTCTGGGCAGGTGGGCACGGTGGGGTGCCAGGCTGTGATCCCCCAGGTCCCCTCACCACTAGTTTGGCCAGACCAAGCCCTTTCTCTGTCTGACGATGTTCTAAGAAATTAGACACACTTGAGTCCTTCTTGAAACCAAGAGCCCATGGTGAACAATGTGACAGAGCCCCTCAGTCTTTCAAGTTTACAAAACACAATTTCTTCCCAGAAGCAGGCATCTTCTCCTAGCCAAATGGAATCCTGGACTGTTTGAATGAGGGTTTTGCACAAGAAAAAACCCAGCTTTACTCTCGCATGGGAATGGTTGAGTTTGAGGAGAAAGAGAATTTGTCACATGACCGCTTCACTGATTCACCACCCCTTAGAAAAACCCCACAGGCTAGTTGTCTAGTGTTCCTTAAACTGTCATTGTCACAAAGACTTCTCCACTTCACGCCTCCACTGTCCTCCTCAGCACCCATTCCTACCACATTGCCGGGCCCCAGGAGCACGGTTCCATTTCAGAAATAGCCC